GTGCCACACTGCTCAGGAAAGCCCCTCATTCCTTTAACATTTCTCATCTGACTTATTCCTTCCCATCTGTGCTTATTATTATTTTTTTTTACATTGGGTGGAGCCTACTTCCTCTTAGAGACAGTCACCAGGATGTCTTCCTGAAAAAATAAATACATAATAGTACACCTTTGCACCTGCACCTTTTTTACTACAAGCCCATTTAGCTACTTGGAAAGTCAGAAGGATGCCTTCCTCCAGGTGGATGTCCGATTTGCCCCTGTGTGCTCAGTGCATGACAGAGGCCCAGGGCTGAGGAAGGATCACTCGTCCTTTACTCCACCCATTTCCTTTTTTTAAAAAAATATGGTTTTATTGCCTTTAAAATTTAGAGAAAGAAGAAGGGAGAGGGAGAGAGAGAAGAAAATCTATGAGAGAGGGAAACATTGATTGGCTGCCTCCTGCAAATTTTTGTGCACCAGGCCTCTAGTATAATACATATATCATACAAATATGTGTTCATGGACTGTTTATGTTATCAGTAAGGCTTCCGGTCAACAGTAGTTGTTAAGTTTTAAAATATATTTTTATTGATTTCAGAGAGGAAGGGAGAGAGAGCGAGAGATAGAAACATCAGTGATGAGAGAGAATCACTGATTGGCTGCCTCCTGTATGCCCCACACTGGGGATTGAGTCCACAACCTGGGCACATGCCCTTGACCGAAATCGAACCTGGGACCCTTCAGTCTCCAGGCCAACATTCTATCCACTGAGCCAAACCAGCTAGGGCTAGTAGTTAAGTTTTAGGGGAGTCAAAACTTACTAGTATACACAGATTTTCAATTATGCCGGGGGAGGGGATAGGCACCTCTCACGCTGCATTGTTCAAGGGTCAGCTGTACTTGGCCTGCAGTCTCTGCCTTCCTTCTGTACTCTTCTCTCTGCAGCCTGATCTTGTCACGGCCCTGGTTGCAAACCTTCAGGAGATATCCATCACTTGCAGATCGATTCTCAACTTTATTCAAGGCCTTTTGTAACCTTATTCCACACCACTTTGTCTCTGGACTTTCCCTCCTGCCCTGAAGTTCAAGCTAAATGGCTCACACACATTTCCCAGACCCTCTGACCTCATGTTTTCCTGTGGCCCCTCACCCCCCAAATGCCCCAATTTTTCCTCCTCATTTTCCCAGGGAGCCTTTCCTGTCCTCTGCTGCAGCCGCAGCTTGGATTCCCTCCTCTGATGTCCGTCACAGTGCTCTGCACATGCCTCAGGTCTGTGCCTAACCCAGACCAAGAGGTGAACAGGCAAGTCCACAGACTCTGGAGCCTTGTGGCCTGGGGCTGACGCTTAGCTTCACCACTTGTAAGTACTGGGACCACAGGCAAGTCACTTCACCTCCCCGGACGTGATTTCCTCATCTGCAAAACAGGGGACATAGTGGCCTCTTCCTCACTGAGTTGCTGGAAGATTAAATTAATTGATGTCTTTTCAACCTTTTGCACAAAGTAAGTGCTGTGTAAGTGTTAACTATCATTTTACTAAGTACACGTCTCTCTTCCCCAGTTGACTGTGAACTCCTAGAAAGCAGCGGCTGTCTTACTCATCTCTGTGTTCCCAGCACCTGGCACACAGTAGGCCCCTGGTCTGCATTTGTTCAGTGAATTGGCTTCTTATTACCCTGCCAGTAGCTCATGCGTTCCAGGGTTAACCGGTGAGCGCAGCGCTATTTTCAGTGGTTCCCAGAGTGGTTCCAGCCCCTGTGTCTAGGCAGGTTTTCAATGCCGTGTATCTGGGTGGCTTGGCCAGGGGATAGGGTTCCTCTCAGTCTGCTTTCCTTATCTCTGCTTCTCAGACACCCGTGAATACGGGCTGTTTCTTGTTCTACTTTATCCAAAGAAGCTTTGTAATTCAACACCCTTGTCCTTGGGTTGGAAATGTGTCCTTTTTTCACTGTGAAAATCTGGTCTCTGTTTGGCATTCAGAACAGGAGAATATGCCAGGGCTTTGTGATGCGGTGACAGCTGAATGAAGAAGAAGGAAAGGGAAGCCTCAGAAACGTAAGAGAGAAGAGGACACGAGTAACAGGAAGCCTGGCATCGCTTGGGCTCACCTACTCTGGGTCCTTGTCCAGCAACTCAGTTCCTGATTGTTTCTGCCAAGGAATAACGATAGTCTTTGCCGGTTTGGATTTTGCTGGAGAAATGGGTCCCATTATAAACCCGTCAACTAAAGATGCCAGTGGAGAACTCAGTGGGGCCTCAGCAGAGAGCAACAATTCCGCAGGCAGAGGGCGGGAGGATATGAGAGAGAAATCTAGGATTGGGTGAGAGAGGGTGCTGCACCAGTGACTGGATTCAAGAAAAAGAAGGGCGTTCATACAGACCTCTAGCATTGCCTGCAGACCTGTGCTCTAGCCGAGAGATTTAGGACAGGTCTCAGGACGACGTGGCTATTAGTGTGGATGCAAAGGGGTGGCAGCTGTCACGCTCCTGTGCCCTCCAGCCCAGACAGTGGCGATCCTGTCACCGTGCTCACGGGGGCCGGAGTAGACGGGGGCAATGTTGAAGGGGAACAGGGTGACCTGCCACGCCAGAGCCCTGTCCCTGTCAAGTCTGCCCCTTCCGACCCTCATTTCTGTGGACCATGGAGGACTCTGGACGGGGCAGAGGTGCTCAGCTTTTGATTCCTCTTTCCAAGAGTCAATTCTTCCTTTTTATCTGCCCCCCCCCCCAGAACTGCTCACAGAAACCTGTGACTATGACTTCATTTTTGACTTTTTCTTTTCATTCTAGACCCACCTTTTCACTGATCTCTCAGTCCCTATTTATCTTTCCATTTTTCCCTTCTCCTCCTTTCCACTCTCCTCTCTCATGCAGTTCCTTATGCTTGGCCTGGCAGAGAGGGGTGTGGCATAAGCCAGAGCCTGGCATCTGTCTAATCCCGCCACCCACAGCCCTTAGTGACAGCCCGCATGGGGAACTTCCCTGGCTGGGACCATCCTGGGGCTCTGGCTGCTTCAGCTGGCAAGCTGCTCGGAGACCCC